CAGCGCCGGCCCCGGGAGTGTCTTTGGTCGCTACTTACTGTGGTCAAAAACTGAGCTTCAGTTTCTTTATGTATCCTGACTCAAATAAGAATAGTAATGCCCTCCCTACTTAACTTCATAACTCGATTGTGAGAATCAAATAAAATAATGGATAAAATAGAGTTGTGTAAACTGCACATGCTATACGAATAACAGGTATTACTATCACGGCGCGGTTCTAGTTCGGCGTTACTGTAACGCTTGTGGGTATATCAGTTTTGGGTAAAGTTGATTATAATTTAACAGTGCTAAAGATAATCATTAATTAACAGGAAAATGAAGTTGTTCATTTAGCGATATTCCACAAGTATTTGAGTAGGTACCAGACATCGTGCTAGTTGTTGAGGATACGGTGGCAAATGAGACAGGTATTGTCCGGTAGTCCACGCAGCTTGCTGTCAGAGACAGTACCACAAGGGCGATGAATGTAAGGAAGAGAATGGACAGTGTCATGAGGGTACATGACAGAGGGGACTAACTAATCAGAGGATCAGGGAGGAACCAAAGTTTCTACAAAGACCTGAAGGATAGGAAGGAATGTGCTAGTCAATGTTGACATAGGAAGATATGGGAATTATTTTTTAAGGTAAAGAATATTTGGTAATGCAGAATAATGGAATTTTCTGACAAAAGGAGCATATTTGTATTCATTTTGGAGAGTATTCTAGAGAAATTTACATATTTGATCTAACAGTGAAGTAGCATTTTCGTGTTGTAAAAATTACTAATCATATAAGGTTGGATTTGGAGGTAGAAATGGACCCATAAAAGTCCACAAGTGGAAGAAATAAGGCCTCTGGGGAGAACCAAGACGGCAGAGGTGGTGGGCCTATGTCGCGGCAGTGCCGCCACCTCCCCTTCCAGTGGTTTAGTTGGGGCCACCATGAGTGCCTGATCTGCAGCCTTCACTTAAAGGGTGAGATAGAGGATTCTGAAGCCCCATGAGGGCCTGGGCACCATACACACTTCCTGAAAATACTCAGTCCTACAGGAAGGAATAAAAAGCTTCATGCTATTTACAGTGACCTCACCATCGAAAAAGATGAGGATTTTCTTCTTTTTCATGCCTGAGAGAAGCACATATTGCTGGGGGATGGGGCTGTCAGTTACAACACTGGCTAATTTCCGAGATTTGGGGGGAAGCACCAGGCTGAAGGATAAGAGCCAACTCTTGATTTACACGCAGTGTCCTGATTCACTGGAGAGGTTTTTCCTTGAATCTTCCTTCTTAAAGCCCCTGCTCCCTCCTGTTGAGCTTCCAGGATTGCTGGCTTCATCTGTGCCCAGCACAAACGTTTCCTCATAAATGTAGATTCATCAGCCTTTCCTTTGTGGTGAAATGGTTGATGAATTCTTACATGATCAATAGAAAGAACTATTCTGGAAAAGCACAACTTTACTCATTGTTTCTTTTAATATTTTTGATGGCCAAAGGAGCATTTTATGCTTTTCCCTTTAACTTTGTTAATGACCCCGGTTTTTTTCTTTACAGATTATAATCTCTCCGGTACAAATCACTGTTTGAATAAAGCTTGGTTTTATAAAAACAGAATAATCTATTTGGTACACTGAACAAAAATGTAGACTTGCAAAAAAAGTAAAGTTTCACAGAGCAGCTTTTTTACCAAAGTCTGCAACACTTTCTGAAGCTGATTTCATCATTGCTCTTTTGGAATGGCGGCTCTAATTCGCTCTAGTCGGCTTTCTAAATATCCTTTGTGCAGCTTTAGGTATGTTAAGTTCCGAGTAGCCTAGGACACAGGGCCGTAAACAGCAAACTTGATCCCCGGTCCCTCTTTGGAGAAAAGCATAGATTAGCACCCAAGCACTCACAGCAAGGCTAAGGCTGTTAGATGACAGGTATAACTTTTTTTTTTTTCTCATTTGTTTTCTTTAATCCACTACTTCATCTTGTGGATGTTGGGAGAACAGTTGAGAGATGAGTCATCAGCTTTAGTAGTGAAAGAGGTGGAGCAGTCATGCGATTAAATCGTAACCAACAAGTCAAGAAAAGTTTCAGATCACTCTGCCAGAGACAACCTACCACCACCATGCCCCCGAGTATTAACAAGAGTCTAATGAAAACAGGAATGCTTTGCTGGAGAGAAGCATATGAAACTTTGCACACAACGTCTTCACCCCCTAAAAATGTGTGTAGTAATAGGCAACAAATCCAGACATAAATCCATTTCACTTGAGACCACAAAATAAAAATGACAATGAAATATTCACACAAATTATCGCTTTCAATCCATCTCTCATCTCTTATCATCCATTTCTTTCTTAACTTCTAGAAGGGCACTGGTTTTTTTTTGTTGTTGTTCATTTTGGTGGGGTTTTTTGTCTTAATCTAGGGGAGGATGGTTTTGGGGTTGAAAAAAATCTCAGGTTTAATCTCACTTCTGTTCTAAGAGGCCCTCAATGACCCTTATCTCCTAGAGTTTTCCCTTCTACATTGTAGCAGAATTGCTTTTATTATGAATAGCGTATGGCAAAAGTGATAGTATGGCACTTCCAGAATTAGATAAATATTTATTATCTCCCAGTTTCTGATAGTCAGGAATCTCAGAGCAGCTTAGCTGATTGGTTCCGGCTCAGGGTCTCATAAAATTGTTAAGTTCTCATCTGGAGCTATAATGGATTTAAGCCTTGACTCTGGAGACTCTACAAAGCTAGTCTGCATCTTCTATTTTAGTAAATCTCATTCATATTCATATCCTCCCTCCCACTCCCTCCCCGCCCCAAAAAAAACCTCTTGATCCAGGGAAATCAAATTGACATATCGTAGGGATGAACTACAGCCTTGACCACCAACGACCACATGAGAGAGCTTGGTAGAGTCTCCAGAGTCAAGGCTTAAATCCATTATAGCTCCAGATGAGAACTTAACAACAATTTTATGAGACCCTCAGCCGGAACCAATCAGCTAAGCTGCTCTGAGATTCCTGACTATCAGAAACTGGGAGATAATAAATATTTGCTAATTTAGCTGTAAAATTTTGAGATAATATGTGGCACAGCAGTAGATATCTAATAGTCTCCTAAAAGATCTTCCTGCTTTTACCATTGCTCCCTCTCCCCCGCCCCCAGTCTATTCTCAACAAAACAGCATCTAGAGAAATCTCATTAAAACATAAATCAGATCATGTCACTTCATGCTCAATCCTATAATGACTCCTCATTTCCCTTAGAAGTCAAGATCCTTCCAGTAGTCTACCAGGCCCTACAGAATCTCACCTCCCTTAGTTCTCTGACCTCCTCTCTTAATACTCTTTGATACTCATTCTGATCCTCCTACACTGCCCACCAGTCTCTACCTTAGGGCCTTGGCTCCAGCTGTTTCATCTTGGAATGTTCTTGCCCCAAACACCCAAAGTGAACTCTTATCTCCTCTAAACCAAATCTCACCACAATGAGATTCACTGTGACCACCCTATTTAAGGCAATGATCTGCCTCCACCCACCCTGGAATTTTCAATTCCTCTAGAATGGTCCGTCTCCATACCCAGCTTTCTATTCTTTCTTCCCTAGCAGTCACTGTAGTCTAACACTCAATGTAGCTTTCTTATTATGTTCAGTGTTCATTGTCTGCCCCATGAGAGTGTGTGCTTCACAAGAGCTGGGATTCTTTGTTTTGTTCATGGATACATCACAAATACTTTGAACTGTGCCCGCCACATGTGCGGTCCTCAATTAACAATGTCGAATGAGTGAATAAAAATTTCATTTTTATTCATTTGAATAAAAATTCAAATTCTTTGAGGAACTGAAGTATAAGCTGGGGTTTCAAATGTTATGAAAGGAATGGAATGGGGGCTATGTTTTTCGTGTTTTGATAAAATCAATTTATAGCATATCTGTAAAGTTGGTTTGAGTATAAAACACCACACAAATGCAAGTTGTCTTAATTTTAGGAAGCATAATTGTAAATTTAACTTAATAAACATTGATCCTATTTAAACTATCTGTCTCTCACCTTCTAATTCTTGCCTTTAAATTAAATAAATGATAATTCATTCTTCTATTCTCCTTAAATGTGAGCTACAGCCTCAGGAAACCAATCAGGCTTGCGTGCAGACCAGAGGCAAAACAAGGGGAAGATTGAAACCCAACCAGCAAAGGTCTGATATTCATGACCTTTTCTCCCACCTGTTGTCCATTATTCTCAACACTGACTTGAGTTAGAGGAGAAAGAATTTTTTCCACCCAGGAAAAGGCACTTCTCTTGAAGGAGAAGAAGAAATGAACTTTAATATAATTCTCAGGATTTTATGCTATGTCCTCTACCTCAGTCTCCTCCTCTCTCCATCTCATTCTCTCTCTCTCTCTCTCTCTGTCTCTCTCTCTCTCTCTCTCTCACACATGCACATACACGGCCTTTTATTTTGAGATGGTATGAATTCTCTTCTCCAAATAGAATATCCTTTTTTAAAAAAAAAAAAAAGGAAAATAGTCTAATTTTTTTCAAAACTAATATCTCAGATCAATAAACTATCTTATACTCTGTTCAGCACTTGAGGTTTAGTCTTCATTTTCTTCATTTTGTTGTAGCTGATCTGCTGTAGCTGATTACTGACATATAACCACTTCAGCAAACCAGCAAAAAAAAAAAAAGACCCAAAGCTAAACTCAGGAGCAAAGTTTCAAGAAGTGACAATTATTATTTCTTTTGAAATCTTGGCATTTCTCCGTTAACTTAATAAGACTTTCAAATGGAAGCTAATGAACCAATCATCCCAGACAGGGTTAATGTCACAATTTAAATGCCAACGATGTTAGTCATTTCACTCCTGGCTAACTTCAGTAATATCCCTCCTTTCAGTGCTGGCTAGAGGCAAAACACAAGAGATAACAGATTACTTCCATGTCAGAACAAGGGTTGAAATATATTCGAAACTTTCTACACTGAACACTTGTCCTTAATGACGCTAACCTTTTGCTGTTGACCTAATCCATATAAGATTCAAGGGAAATGAAATGAATCCACAAACCTGGGGTGATATTAATAATCTTCATGTTAAAGATTAGTATTTTTGAGAAAGAGAATTCAGTTAATTCAATGAAGATATTTTAATGCCCTCTACTACAATGGTTTTTAAAAATAAGCCATAAAACAAAATTTGTATGTATAGAAATCAAGATACTTACATTTTAGATATACCAATAGCAAAATATGATCCACTGATTAAAACATAATCTCCCCACCTCTCCCTCTCCTGTTGTTGCCCCAGCTTTGCTCATGCCCTAAGCATGCTCTTAGCCCACATGTTAAATAATTTATAACTGAGGTAGAGATGATTAGGAATATAATTAAAAGCATGCATTAAGCACTAGAAACAACCATAGGAGAAAGATATCACAGCGGAAAGTGGAAGGAAGAGAATAAGAAAATAATTTTAAATCGTAGAGCATTTGTAGAGGCCGCAATCTATGAAAAAATTATAAGTGTATGGGTTTAAATCAAAATCCAAAATGTTTCCAGTGATTATAGATGAATTTTGATTTGCTTCTTTCTGCTTTCTGAAGTCTTCAATAATGAACTATACACACTTATTGAGCACCTACTTTATGCCAGATAGTGTTCTAAGTCTTTGACATGGATTAATGCATGTATTCCTTATAATAGCCTTGAAGTCTGGTACAGTAAACATGCCCTTTACACTGATGAGGATGCTGAGTAGCTAGCACTAAGTAACTGGCCCGGGGTTAGGCAGTGCTCAGCTTTGACCAGAATTGCATATTAGAGCTCAGCTCACAAGCATCTTTCTCTGGTGCCAATTCTTGACTATGCTCTATTTTCATTAAAAAAAAAAAAAAGTTACTTGAAAAGAGGGCACTAAAACACAAACTGGATACAAGAGACCAATGTAACAGGGGATTTCTTACATGCAAGTAAATGAGAGGATTTCCAAATTGAGAGGTTCTAGAGAAATTGTGTGAAGTGGAGGTCTATAAACTCCTTGAAGACAAAGACAATGTGTTTAGATTATGTGCAAATTCCAAGGTGCTAAAACATTTCACAAGGTAGTGTCCTATCAGGCAACACAAACGAATCATGTGAGATGAGGGGTAGCAACTCCTCCTTATTCATCTTTAGTCTGACATAGCTAGAGATCATCTTTTTTAATTGTCCTATGGGAAAATGTTATATAATTGACACGAAAAAAATACAAAATAAATAATTAGTAAATATTGGAAACATTATTGTTAGGTCCAAGAGGGCCCAATCACTACCCTCCACCCCACCATAGTGTGGGAACCAGACTTCTCCCTTACCTGCATGTGAGAACCGGACTTTGCATCCGGGTTAGCAACACTACATGCTCACCTCCTGCTTCACTGGACTCTCCTCCCTTCTCCGCCAATTTACCCACCCAAAATATTCCCACACAAAAAGCCCACTTTAAGCCCCACATAAGTTTCAGATCCCTTCGCATTCGGGGCTGACACCATCTTCGGCTCAGCCCGGCTGTCGCTCTTCTACAATAAACCTTGCTTAACCCCTTCGGCCTTGTGCGTTCTTCCTTCAGCAACTCTAACGTACGGTGCCAAACCCGAGAGAGTTTGGTGCAGGTTCAGTGGCCACGCCTCTGAGCCCTGCGGTGGTAATTGGTTTGCGACCTGGAAAGCAGTGGGCTATGGCACGCTGGGGCCAATCTCTGGTTCCTACCTTTGCTTGGGCGCTACGGGGTTTAACCCTAACTTCCCCAAACCTCCTCAAACCCAGCCGGGGAGGACGCCGGAGCGGGAGCTTCACTTTTTCATTGCTGACCTGCCAGTCTACATCGGTCATTTAATTTTCGGAGAAGTAGTTATCTGCCTCTTCTCAGGTCTTCTGTCTCTCGTTCTCTGACAAATCCTATCGCTAGGTCAGAAGACTCCTCAGCCTCCTGGCCCCACCCCAGGTCCTTCTGAACTGGGCACACCCAACTCAGAAGGACTCCTCTGCTCTATCTTACGGGGCTCTTTGCCAGTGGGGACGCCCACCTAAAGAGCCCCTCCCTCCCTTGTGGTTTGCCACTCGCCCTCCTCTCTTTCCTTGTGGTTCTCATCCTCTTCACCATGGGGAACACACCCTCTACACCCTCTACACCCTCCAAAACCACCCCACCTTGGCGGCCTTTTAAGGAACCTAACAATTATACGTAGCCTGACCCAAAATACAACTTTTAAAGGAAAGAATCATTTTAAACCAAATTAGCTTTAAAAATTAAAAAGAGAACTTCAGAGGAACTTCTCATGCTTAAATCTCTAGCAGAAAAACAAAACAAAACACAAAAGCCTCTTACAAGGCCACAGGACAGATTTCCATCTTAAGACCATTTCACATGTGTACTTCCCTCTCAAAGATTTCCCTGAAGTGAGATAAGTAATAATGTGTATAGCCAATGTGGAAACAGAAATTTTGTGCAATTCTAGAAGATGGAAAGCAGAAGAGACTGGAACGGAGGAGAAATCAAAGTCAAGAAGGCTACACCCCAGCTCTGGTGTGGGAGTGGGGAATGCATAAGTGAGCACCAGTTTTCCCACTGAGCCTGGAAAACTCTAACTCAGAGACTTTAGGGTCTATCCCCAAGCAAGTCACAGACTCTTCCTTTTGGTGCAGTGCACACAAAGGAACTACTACAGTGTTCATTTCTCAAATACGAATGAATCGGCCTTTGGGATTCAAGGACCAGAGAGAGAAATAATTTGGTAAAATGACTATAGTAACTAAAATGACTAATGTATCAAATGGAAACCAAGAAAAAAATTCAACTGAAAACAACAGGAAAACCTTCCAATGTGTCCAACCCCCACTTGCCCCCTATGCAAAAGAATCTTGAAGGAACCCTCAACACCTATAGCCACTTCTTCCGCTTAGAAGAACAGCCCTCTCTGGAAAG